TGCCTCTCTGCCTACTTGTGATCTCTGTCTGTCAAATAAATAAATAAAATCTTAAAAAAAAAAGAAGAAGAAGAAGAAGAAGAAAATGTTTTTTCAGTTAATCCTATTACTTATTCTAAGTGGTTGTATCAGCTTGGGTTACTATGACAAAATGCCACAGGCTGGGTGGATTAAACAACAAATATTACTTTTCTTAGAGTCTGGAGCCTGGATGAGAGCAAATGCCAACATGGTCAGGTTCGGGTTAGGGTTCTCTTCCTGGCTTGCAGATGGCCACCTTCTCAACGTGCCCTCACAAGACACACATGGAGAGGAAGTCCCCTGGGGCCTCTTTTTTTGAAAAAAAAAAAAAAAAAAAAAAAAAAAAAAGATGACTTATTCATTTATTTGAGAGAGAGAGACACAGCGATAGAGGGAACACAAGCAGTGGGAGAGAGAGAAGCAGGCTTCCTGCTGAGCAGGGAGCCCGATGTGGGCCTTGATCCCAGGACCAAGGGATCATGATCATGACCTGAGCTAAAGGCAGACGCTTATCGACTAAGCCACCCAAGCACACTTATGGTGCCTCTTCTTATTAAGACACTAGTCCCCTCATGAGGGCCCTACTGTCATGACCTCATCTAAACCTAATCACCTCCCTAAGGCCTCTTCTTCAAATACCACCACCAGGGCATTAGGGCTTCAACTAATGGATGGAGGGGGATACAATCAGTCCAAATTGTGGTCTAGGAAGCAGATGCCCAGATAAATACGGGTGTATGAGCTTACTGCTATGCTGAGGTACAAATTATCTTCTAGCATCTGTCACTCATGGGTACAAATATCATGGAGACACTGGGACTATGGGACAAAACAAACCTGCTGGTAAAGAGCAAACCTGTGTCAGAAGCTCCTCACTGCATCCTGCTCTCCCTTGAAGCAGGGCCTATTACCCTCCAGTGTGCCCCATCCTGGAGTTGCAGGTGACAGAGATTTCTGCCCAGCCCTTCGGTTCTGGGGTGAGGCACAGGCCTAAAGGTGCGTGTGGGCAGGAGCCAAAGCTTAGAGTACAGGCAGCTTGGATTCAAGTTTGGGCTTTCAGCTGGGTGATGGTCAGGAATGCATACAACCTACATGAGCATCCCTCTTAAAATATGCAGAGCATGAGTGAGTGTAAGGGACCCTGGGCCAAGAGGAGTACCCAACAGAGGAAGCTGCTGTCACTCATGGACTGCACAGGCAAGCGACCATCAGAGTACACAGAAGCCTGGGCAGGTGCCAGGCCCCGCCTCCTCACTTCTGTTCCCTTTCATAACACGTGTCAGGAGAGGACCCTCCTGAAACTTAAAGCTCTGTCCAAAGTTACCATCACCCACCTGCTTGTCATATTCAGGAGAAACTGGGTCAAAAATTTCCTTATGTGCCTTCCTAATCCCTTGACCTTGAAAAGTGTTGCTTCATTGTCATAGTGATCATTTCAGAAACTAAAGGCATGCCTCTCCCTCTGTTTCAGCTCTTTACTTCTGTGTTTGGAGTGGGACTGAAGACTTCCGAGAAATGGTTCAGAATGGGTTATAGAACTCTGAATAAAATAAAGCTGGACAAAACCCTGAAATTCACGCCAATGCAGAAAGCAGGTAAACTGTCCTGTCTACAGATCTCCTGCTGTGGTCAGGGGCTCATCAGGTGGTGGTAGAGCTAAGTCAGCTGAACTTCAACTCCAACCTTGGGAACCTGGGTCACTTTTTTTTGTACTTGGTTAAAAGCACAAGCTTTTGGAATCAGACAGACCTGGATCCAAATCCTGGCTGCAACACTGGGTGGCTGCATGATCTTGAGCAAGCTTGTTCAAGTTTCTAAGCCTAAGCTACCGTGTCTATAAAAGGGGGGTAACATTGCTAGTTAATGGGGAATAAATCAGATCATGCTGGCAAAGCCCTTAGCACTAATCCTGGCACAGGGCATAGACTCTCCGCAAGAGAGCCCCTGTCATTCCTGCATCCAGGCATCACACCGGGTTGCGCTGTTGTTCTGGTCCATACTGAACTGGCCCTAGACGTTTGGTCCTGGCTGTCTCCCTTGGGGAAAAGGTGTGGGAGCAGAGTCAAGGGCAGAAAATGGATGTAAAGATTGAGGAGTAAAAAATATTTGAGCAGACCAAGAATCATTGCTGGCACAAATGTGGATCTGCTTTAGAAACCACAAGACACCAGTAAATAGAAGGGAAAGTGTGCAAATCTAGACAGATGGTTGATCTAACCGCTCAGGACCCACCAGCTTGAGAAGACAAGACTATGGTGAGACAGCTGAAGGCTGGCAGGACTTCCTACAGGTTGAAGGTGGTGGCTTGGGTGTTTCCATTTACAGAGGGCTGTGGTACACTTTTTTTAATGAAGAAATGCAAATAAAGGCTCAAAAAAATGAACGTGTTTTAAACATTTACTTTCAACATGTAATAGAAATACAATAAAACTGCAATCGGAGAGAGCAAGCCACATCCAGCAGTGTTGAGTACAGCCATCCTGTAGTATATTACATCCCTGGTACTTATTCTCTTGTAACTGGAAGTTCGTACTTTTTTGACCACCTTCTTGCAATTCCTCCACCATTCACCCTCGCCTCTGATAACCACAAATCTGATTTCTCTTCTACAAGTTTTTGGTTTTAGATTTCACACTTAAGTGAGATCATATAGTATTTGTCTTTCTCTTGACTTATTTCACCTAACATTATGCCCTCAAGGTACATCCATGTAGTTGCAAATGGCAGGATTTCCTCACTTCAGTGGTTGAATAATATTCATACAAACACACACACCCCACAACTCCTTTATCCATCCACTGCTGGATATTTAGGTTGTATCCTAAGACAGCAGTCTTAGCTATTTGAATAACACTGCTGTGAACATGGTGCTGCGTGAATCCCTTTGACATAGCATTTCCATTTCCTTCAGATGTATTCCCAGAGGCAGGACTGCTGGATCACGTACTCATTCTATTTTTAATTTTTGGAGGGAGCTCCCTCCATGGGCCTGCGGGAATAACCAAATCATTATCACAACTGTGTCTGAACTTCCATCCACCACTTTCCAACTCCGAATCTTCCCCTCCTAAATCTATATGCATTATCTTTCAAGATTCATAGGACGCAGTTTATTGGTCAAGAAGGCTGGTTCTTCAATTAAAAGTCCTATTTGAACAGCTTGCTTTCCAGGTGGATATGAAATATAGGCTCTTTCTTCATCAGGCAAGTATAAGTCTCTTTCTTACAAGTCAGAAAGCAGAGTCATCGTTACCGTGAAAAATACACAACCAAAAGCATAGAGAACACACTCGTCTCTGGGAAAGAGTTTGGTGATGCCTGTGGTCATGTTTGCTCTATCTGGGGGCAGAATCCCCTCCCACAGAGGGCTGGTCATGTCACGTGTCACTCTCTCCATTGACCTGTTCAACGGCCCCCTCAGGATTCCTTTATTATGAAGACCTCGTCAGCTGCGTAACCAGGGAAGAAGCAGAGGCAGTTGGCATGCTGGTTAAAGAGGCCGTCTGGGCATTTCTGCCTGAAGCCTTCGTCACCATGACAGGAGGATTCAGGAGGTAGATAATGAGAGCTCCTTTTGCCTCTCCTGCTCTAACACCTTCAGTGGCTCCCTATATTCCGAACTTCAGGCTTCCAAGCATGACACAAAGGCCTTGGTGATCTGGTACCAGCCTGTCTCTGTGGTCTCATCTTTTGTACCTCACGTTCCCACCCCAGCAACCCCAAATGCCTTGTCTTTGCACACACAGAGCTGTTTCATGCCTCTATGACTCGCTCGGCAGTCCCTTCTGCTTGGACTAGCTTTCCTCAAATTGTCACCTGGCTGACTTCTCCTCATCTTTTAAGACTCAATTCAGATACCACCTCCTTCTCCAGGCTTGGCCAGACAGACTACCTCAGGGCTACCTGCCAAGTAATTTGTTTGTATCCATCCTTTCCCTCACTTAGTTTGTAGACGTTAGTGCTCTGTGAGAACCAGGAGCCTGGCATAAAACAGGTACTCAAGAAATATTGGCCAAATCAATGAGCAGAATGAACAAACTCTTCACAGAAATGTGTGCCTCCCGAAAGAGATTCCTTGCCTCCCACCCCTCCACTCCTCCAGCTCTCCCTGTGGCCCTCTTACCTGTTTGCTTTTGGCCATCCTGGCAAGCCAAGTCTGAAGTGAGGGAGCAAGTGGGAGAGGAAGATCAAATCTAAGAAAATGCCTTCAGTCAATGTCCTAATTCCGAGAGCCCTCTCTTGTATCATAGTTCTTGGTTTGCTTGGCGACATTCTTGTCTCTGTATGGACATGTGGGGGTGAGTGCAGAAGAAATCATTTCCTTTGTTATTTTTGACCCACGCATATGTAATCACATATGTACTATGTGGGATTTTTTTTTCTGTCATAAAGTTATTCTACGAAGAGTAGAGCTGCACAATAAGGATATTTTTTAAAAATTTATCATGTGCATTTTGTGATGCTCAAAGCTTGAGCACAGGACATAGAAACAAAGGTGACTTTTAAAAATTGGGAGCTAAAAAACTAATTCATTTCCATTTTATACTTTTTTTTTGTTCAGAGGTAAGAAGATTGGGCATGATGTAGATTTTTTAATTACCAGCCCCGGGTCAAGAGATGAAGACGAGGAACAACTTTTACCGAAAGTGATAAACTTATGGGAAAGGAAGGTAAGAAGAAGGATCAAAAGTAGATGTTTGGACACTCAAGCAGTCCGTTAATACCACTGAACTTTGCATACTGTTTACCTCATAATTTTGTAATGACTATCTGATTGTCAATGATTTGCAACAGCTTACACAATGGCACATGACACCCAATGAGACTTATCCGCCTGGGGTCCTAGAGTCCATGTTGTGAATATCAATCTTGCATATACACACTTGTCCTGTTTCCAATGGGGCCAAGGGTGTGTATGTCTCTGTATTGGACATTCAGGAGCATTAGATCTCCGAAACAAATGGAGAGCATGTACAGACCTGGGAGGTATGAGATGGGCAGCCCAGTTTAGGCGTCGGGCAGGACTGCTGGGATTGGAATAGAAGCAGCCAGGAGGTGTCGCTGGTGCCTGGAACTCTCTTCTGTTCAACAACCACCTTGGCCTTGTCCTGAGATGGGAAAAAAGAAACTCATGAAGACAAGATGAGCTCAGAAGCACTGACCCACTGAGGAGATGAGACTTCTCCTAGGCTACCTATTGCCCAGCAGAGGAGGTAAAGGATAGGCAGCAGGGAGAGCCTCCTGCAGGGCCCTGACTCCAGTGAGAACTCGACTTCCCAAAGAGACCAGAGGGCTCCACCCCAGGGACCTACAGGAGTGGCGGGCTGACAAGCCTGGGGCTGGTGTTTTTCTGGCCCAGCTCCATACTTCCTGAGCAAGCTGGCCCCTGCTGGGTGTGGGCCATGCTCCCTGATATGGCAGAAAGAGAGAAACCTCAGATCAAGTGAAAGTAAGAGCCAGAAACACAACACCCTGGAAACAGGAGCACAAGAAGGGAGGACCCAACGTGGGAACCAGATCCAAATTCATCTGTAAGGCCGACCTACACGGGCCCCTCTGCTCTACTTGAGCAGGAAAGGTGGGACTGTCTCATGGATAGTACACTAAGTACACTGCATAGACAGTGCACTAAGGCCCTGGGTGGGGACTGCAAGGCCAGGGTTCCCTGTGAGGACCTATTCAGCCTCAGTTATTTATTTATTTATTTATTTATTTATAAAAAGATTTTATTTATTTATTTGACAGAGATCACAAGCAGGCAGAGAGGCAGGCAGGGAGAGAGGAGGAAGCAGGCTTCCTGCCAAACAGAGAGTCTGATGCGGGGCTCAATCCCAGGATCATTACCTGAGCTGAAGGCGGAGGCTTTAACCCACTGAGCCACCCAGGTGCCCCTCAGCCTCGGTTTTTAGACACCAGGCTCCCAATGCCCTGAGGCTGTCCCGGACTAAGACAGGGATGGAGGAATGGGACCATGGGGACAAGGAGCCTTCCTTCCTCTTGTCTTTCCTCCGTTTGAGGCAGTCATATGTCTGCCCTCCAAGCAAAGAGATGGGCCAGCGGGTGGAGACCAACATTAAGCCTGTGGGTTTTATTTAGGACGTTGTCAAAGGACAATCCTGCCGTTTACTGGCTGCATGGCCTGGGGCGCTTTGCTTAACCCTTCCTCATCTACTAAACAGGGATAGCAAAGCTCTGTCATTTCATTAACGTGGAGGATTAACGGAGAATCAGATAAAGCGCTTGACACAGTGACTAGTAAGGTGGAACGCCTGCTATACACAGGCTGTCAGCGTGATCACGCCTGCGCAACTGTCCCTTGCGCTCTGCTGAGAGCCAGGCCCGGCGCCAGGTGAGGGGACCCGGAAGTGAACGGGCGCGGCTGCTCTTCCCTCGCGGACAAACAGGCCTCCGGAAGCCGACCCTGAGGGCCAGCTGGGTGTCCCAGGTCTGCCCGCATCCCCGCAGCCTGGGACCTGTCCCTCCCACCCTGGCTGGGAACTCTGCTTGCGTAACTTCCACCTCAACCTTGCTCCTCACTCCACGGACGTTCTTACCCCAACTCGCATTTTCCAGATTATCCGGGTGATCGCCCACGCAGGCATACGCATGCGCATACACACACACACACAGCACGCACGCGTTACGGTACATCACGTCACGTTACATTACGCGTTACGTTACCTGACTGTGAAGACAGCCTGGCAGGGCTGGTCTGAGCCGCCTGTCAGCTGACTCTGAATGCGAGCCTTCTAGAAGACCCCTGGGTCAGTGCACCGAGAGGGAGGAAAAGGAGCTTGGAGCACTGTTCTGTGGTGGGGGTCCCCATGGCCAAGGCTCCTTCAGCCTGAATTCTCCCTGGCCAGCACAGCTAAGCCCAAGGAGGGGAGGGCTGCTGGAGGGAGGGACGGGGGTTGGACCCTGGTGGGTGGGACTTTGGTCAGGGCCGCTCACTCCTCTGTTGGTCTCTCATCCCTGGAAGGCTGAGAGATTGAAAGTATTTACACTCTTTAGGGAAAAGAATATATTCACTGCTGCTGAGAAACAGATTTCGAATAGGGGATGTAGAGTCTTCTGAGAAGGGGTTGCAGGGAATTAGAACACAAGGGCGGATGGATCGTGGCCCTCAAATAAGGGGAGGGCCTCACCCTCTAGCCTCTCAACCCTCCCTGCTCGGCTGGCGAGCCTGATACTAAACTTGGGGTCACGGGGACTCCCTCTTTGTGAGAAGCGGAACCTCGGGAGCTGAGCGCTCTTCTCCTACAGTACCCCAGGGAGGGAGGGAGGAAGGAACAGGGGAAGGCCTCCCTCTCCTTCTTTGTCAGGAGTCACTTAGTTTCCAATAGGAAGAAAAGAACATGCTGGTAGGAAATGTTTACATCTACAGCCAGAGCCCGAAACGTCAAAGGAATTTTCAAAGAAGGAAAGAAGTTACCGAAGGGGAAATGGGGGGCAACAAGGAAAGAAACAGTAGAACATAGAGCCCCAAAACAGCCCAGGCTAGAGAGTAGGAAGCAACATCAGGGGTGTGTGTGTGTGGGGGGGGGGGGGGTGGAGTGTGTGTGTGTGTGTGTGTGTGTGTGTGTGTTTTGACAACGGTTCCCTGCAGCAGACGCAGAAGGAAATGCCTAAATAAGCAGACAGCAACATTTTATTCCAGGCATGCCTTCCCAAATGCCTTGCAAGATTGAAAGTAAACCCCTCCCAAGGATGGCGCATTGTCTAGGACCAGCCAGTGTGGCAGAAGTGCAAACACAGCTTACAATTATTAGAAAGCCAGTTTTGTGGATTTTGGCGGGAGGTGGGTATTTTTACAAATTTAACTTTAAAGAAAGACTTGTGAATATTTTAATAGCTCACTCTTCAAATGTACATAATTCAAATTTAAAGAAAGGCTGCTGTAATGTACTAATTTATGTAAGTTTCATTAAAAAGCAGAATTGTGTTTTCCTGAGCTGGTGATTAGATCACCCTAGGGCAACATTTGCCACCTTCCCCAGAAGGTCTCCAGGACATCAGTGCTTCCCTCTCAGTCCCCTCCAAATGCTGTGTTCTTCCTAATAGCGTTCCTGGGGGAGCCACTGAAGGGCTAGAGTTCCCTCTTTTGAGGTCAGAAAAAGGATCCCCTTCAACGTTTAGCTGAACCAAAACAATGTCTCTTGGAGGGCTGCAGAAGAAATGCAAAGCATTCCTTATAACAAAATGAACGGAACCAGTAGTGCTCAAACTGTGGTTCCTGGACTAGCAGCATCCTGGGAACCTGTTAGAGATGCAGTCTCGCTCTCCCTCCTTCCCTCCACTGAATGACTCTGGGCACAGGGCCCTACAAACTCTGTTGTGATAAACTTTCCACATGCTTCTGATGATAATTCGAGAACATCTGACCTAAGGACAACAAATCACATACCCTAATAGCTATGATTGAATTCTTTCAAGGTTATTTGGTTTTTTAGTTGACACTCAGATTTAGCATTTATTACTACCATCTCCCTGCCTGTCCACCAAGCAGACAATTGGGGCATCGCTGGGCACATCTTAGAATCACTTCTTATCTTTCTGACTCAGGAGCAGTAGGTGAAATAACCATCACTAATATTATGTCATTCTCAAGGCGGACAGAGTGACACTCTTTGTCCTCAAAGGGATAAGGCAAGTTTCTGAGCACTGACTTGTAATTCAGAAGTAAGGAGAGGGGTTCTCTGGAGCTTTGGCCTAATTGCTAAATTCCTCTGCAGCAGAGAGAGGATAATACATCCACTTCCTGGCTTCCTCTCCCAGCGTGGTCAAGTGGACTCACACAGCAAGGACAAAACATGGCCACGTTCTGCTCAAATCTGTGAAGCTTCTGTTGAGAGCATTCATTAAGAGCCCAGTATAAAACGGCAGACCCTGTCCACCGGGGAGTCTTCCTGATGTCTTTCTGTTTGTTTTCAGGGATTACTTTTATACTGTGACCTTGTGGAGTCGACATTTGAAAAGTTAAAGTTGCCTAGCAGGAAGGTGGATGCTTTAGATCATTTTCAAAAATGCTTTCTGATTTTAAAATTGCACCATCAGAGAGTGGACAGTGGCAAGTGCAGCCAGCAGGAGGGGAAGACCTGGAAGGCCATCCGCGTGGACCTGGTCATGTGCCCCTACGAGCGCCGTGCCTTTGCCCTGCTGGGCTGGACTGGCTCACGGGTAAGTGCTATGTAGGTCCAAAAGATATGGGCTGGGTTTACTGGGGCCCAGGAGAGAGACAGCGGCAGTGGAGGCAGGGTAACAGGGAGGAGTGCCCAGAAACCTCCAGATCCGGGCATTCTACCTGCATGCAATCAAGTGAGACTAATTAATTTAGAACAGTGTGGCCCCGGGCTGGCACCTGCTTACCTGGGAGCAGGTGAGATGTGTAAATCCCCCCCATCTACCATCCCCCACCCCACCATCCCAACCCGTTCTCCTGAATCAGAAACTTTGGGGATGGTGCCCAGGAATCTGTGTTTGAAAAAAGCCCTGCACATATTTCATATTTCTGATGTAGCTAGAGTGTGAGGACTGATGTAGAGAAAGCAACAAGGTGGCTGAGCGCACAGGTTTGGCTTCTCCCAGAGCTGGTCATGAGGCACTGCTCTCTCTCCTACCAGCTGGGGGATCTCTAATGAGTTCCCTGTGTCCTTGAAGACTTGGTTTTTCCATCAGGTCCTAGGGACCTCAGCCACCTCCTGCTGAGGGGCTGCAGGGATGGGTGAGATGAAGCTAGCAAAGCCCTCAGTACCACGCGGGCCACGTGGTCGGTGCTGGCCAAGTGGTAGCTCTCACTCCCACCATGTTATATTCACAACAGTGGTGCCCCTGATTTGATTCTCATCAGCTTGAGCTCCCCCCTCTGGTGTAAGCACCCCTCCCTTCTATCAGTGTCCCAGGGTAGCTAGCTATGACTTTGGTGACATGTGCCTTTAGAGGGTTTTATGTAGATGAATGACATAACACAGATTAATTGTCCTCAACCTTGAGTTAAATGCCCAGTGCCTTTGCTTGAGCTGCAATTATTTCAACAGAGGGTCTTGGCCCTAGAATTTCTTACTCTCACCAAAAATATTGGCTGACGTTTTTCATTCATGAAAGCTGGAAAAACTGATGGAACAATATATCATAAATGCAGCTTGTTGACCTGAATCTTTGGGAACACAGATTCTGTTGAGAAAGGGGAGAGTTCCAAAAAGAAGTCCAAGGTTATACAAGGTCAGGCCACTTAGGAATCACTGGCAGAAATGGTTTCCTCTTGTCCATTTTGTTTGAAGATGGGTGTATTTCCAGCACATTCTAGTCTCTTCTCTCAGAGTCCTTGAAATTACTGTTATTGGTTCTGCAGGTGTTGATAGAATACTAAGCTTTTCGCTGGGCCACTTTAAATGATTTGACCTCTTTAAGCCCCAATTGTGCCATCTCTGTGGTGAGTAACAGTGGTGCCTACCTCCAATGTCACCATTTGGGTTAAATGAGAGGCTGCATGGGTTTAAATGTGGCATGTGCCCAGCATATGGTAGCTACTCATGTTATTATTTTTATGCCCTATTTATGCAGTCACTGAAGATAGTGTGTTTTGTCTCCAGGTTGATACCTGTTGGTGGGCGACCAGAATTAGTTCTAGTCTAAAATTCTATAGGTGAGAAATTCAATTTCACCTTTTTAGGTTTCAGGGCCTAGGAATTATTCTCCACACATTTCATCTATTAATCTCACCTCAATTTGGGGCCTACAAATGTGAATGGTGCCCTTGAGAGTTTTGCAGTACACAACTTACGCAGCTGTATGCAGCAGCTCTGGATCCATCTCTGAAGTCTGTTGTGATCAATGACACAGCAAGCCTGATACCATTACCCCTGCTCAATGTTCAGCCTTTCTTCATCTGAAACACAAGACATTGTCCTTGCCATGCCTGTTTCACAGGGTCATTTTGAGAAACTAAAGAGGCTTTAAAGCAAAAGGCAGAACTGTCTCAGGTAAAGTGCCTGAGCTTTGGGATGCGGGAGTCTAAGTCCTAGCTCTATCATTGGTTGTGTGGTCACGGGTAAATGACTTAAGCTCTCTAGGCGTATTTTCTTCATCTGAAAAACAGGCTAATAACAGCTCTAGCCTTACAGGATTGTAATGAGCAATTAACAAGACAATGCCCTCATCTCAGCCCAATTCTGAGTCCAACTGTGTACTTAAAACTGTTCCCTTTTAGGTACTTAAAGATTCTTTCAGACTCTTGTAGAAGTCGTTAAATATTAACAGCAAAAGAGCACATTAGAAAATTAATATAAAGCAAGAAGTCGGCCCAGTGCCTGGCATAAGGTAAACTCTCCAGAAATATTAAGAAGGATATAATTGCCTGGTTTATAGCCATGGCCGTCCTGACTGGTCCTCACCCAGTACAGCTGAGTGATCCTGTTGTAAATCAGATCAGGTTACTCCCCTGTCCAAAACCTTGCAGAGACTCCCCATTTAATTCAGAGTAAACGTGGAAGGTCCTATAGTGGCTCGTAAGACCCTGCAGGATCCTCTCACCCTCTTAATGCCTCTGAACTCCTCTTCTACTGCTCTCAGGGGCCAGGCTTACTTCTCGCTAAGGCTGTGTT